TAATAATAATAATAATAATAATAATAATAATAATTTATTTAATTTTATACATATAAAATAGAGGTTGACCCAAAGCATATTAAAAAGAATAAAAAAATATTAACCAATTACAATTTAATTATTTTGTCGAATTTATATATATGCATGAGAATTCAAAATATTATCATTATATTCATTTATGTAATTTTGAATCAAACACTTCAGTTTATTATTTATTTTATTTTAAGCACAATATATATTAAGTTATACATAATTTAAACTATAATATATTTATATATCTAAGACAATTACCAACCGAAATGAAAATAAAAAAATTAATCAAAATTTTATTATATTTAGAATAAAAAATATTATAGCTGAACTCGAAAAATATATATTATCCAATATACCAAATTGATAACCAAACCGACTATTGATCCAAAAGATAATTAAACCGACAATAATATATCCAAAGTCATAAAATTTATTCAAAACTAAAATTAAATATCAATCAATTATTTACTTTTATGAATACTTATACCCGTGCATGAGCACGGGAAAATCACCTAGTAATTAAATACATATGAAAAAGGCCCAATGGGCTATTTATTTTCAAGGCATGCGAATCGTAATAAAAGTCAGAAAAAAATAAAGAAAATAATAGTAAAAGTAGAAGACATGCTCTGTTAAGTGGTCGCTGTCTTCACTCTCTCATCCTCTCTGCGTATTTGGCAGTTGAATTTCTCTGCATGCAAAATCTAATTTTAGATTTCGTGTTGGATTCTCAGTACCTTATTAAATTCCCAATCTGCCCCTGTCATCAAACGTCAACGTTAATATCTCTCTTTCTTTCTCTCTCTCTCACACACGATACACATTTATGCAGATTATTTATCGTGTTTTTTTTTTAATGATTTGTCTATTATTGTGATTCTCCTTTCTCTTTCACCATACATGCAAAATCTCCTGCATTTCTGTCTCGTTTGGGAAATTATGTAAATAATAAATGGTCCTAATTTCTAACATCTTAAAATTTGATCTCTTCGAACAAAAAAAAAAATTTGTTTTGGCAGTACGTGTGAGTTCAGTAATTACTCAAATGTGAGAAACGATTTGTTTTGAAATTGGATTTATTCACTTAAATGTGTTAGCATTAATGTTCTTTTTTTGAAACAAGTTAGCATTAATGTATATATGCTGACATTACCAACCAAATGTTTCTGCTTTTATGGATAGTTCTATATGTTGCACTTGATAGTAGATACTAAACTAAACTAGTTTATTCAAGTCCGTTTCCAAAAACTGGACCAGGATGAGAGTTGTGGGTTTCTCGAGATTAATATATTTAATGTGTGTTTCAAAAAGAGATTGATAGTATTAAGTTTGTTCATTATCTGAGAAAAACCTCGTTTTTTTTCACATGTGTTTGACCTAATACATATCCCGAGAACTCAGGCTATGGAAGATTGAAGACATTGATGAACTATATAGTTAGATGTATACTTCTAAGTTTAGAGTTTTTTTTCTTTCTCTAGTACTTAAGATTAGATAAGAACAAAAAATAAATAAGTTTATAATCAAACCAATACACAGGGATATAATGGTCACTGCAGAGTCGTCTCTGTCCTAAAGATCTACAGCTGTTTGGCACGCTTGTGAATAGAGAAGAAATTGAATGATGAGAGACTTCATATGGCGTTTTTGGTTTTGCGTTCTCGGTCGCGATATTGGCGGTTGTTGACATATTTGTTCATATCGTCGGCTGATTAAAAAAGTTTGTCAAAACTTTGAGAAAAGAACATAAACAAAACTAATTGGATGCAAAATGGTACTACGTACTATTTACTTTTGATATTTGGTGGAATTGCTAATCATTACCAAAATCAAAGGAAGGAAAGAGGGACCTCTTCATGCATATGATTTCCCTCCAAAACAACTGCTCCCATTATCCTTTTTTTTTTCCTTCCAACAAAATCATTCACATTAGAAAATCTGTCCCTTGATCACTTTCATGCAGAATTAAAACTACCAAAAGTAATTTCCTTTTGTAATCTCAAATGATTGCTGTTTCTGGTTTATTGTATGCTACTATATTTGTGTAGACATCCTATCATTAACTATTCTTCGTTAGTTTTAAGGATATGATGATTACGAATTCGTAATTGATCGTATGTAATATACTAATATAAAACTTAAGGATGTATTTTTTTTTTTTGTAGTGTCATGTTTAATTGATTTTGTAACGAACGTAAGAGAACATATAGAACAGCCAAATAATAGAGTTGTCGCAGCCCTTAGTCAAAGGAATTTTTGATATGATATCCCTCGTGGGACAAAATACTAAGCCACCACATATGCTCGCTTAAATGATAATTCATTTAATGCTTTAATCATTAAAACAAAAGTTCTCACTTTATTTCAAGGGTTACCACCGCTTCTTCCATCATTAGGAGAATATTAACATTGATCAAAATTTCTTTATCCAAAGTAACTCTTTTTACCTAAAAGAAAATTTTAAAATATATACAATATGATCGGGTTCAATAATTCATGTTTTAACGTATAATTATACTCCCTCCGTTTCATATTAAGTGTCGTTGTAGAGAGTTTTTTGTGTTACAAAATAAGTGTCGTTTTCGGTTCTCAATGCAAAATTTATTAATTTTATTATGTAATGTGTTTTTCTATTGGTTAAAATATGGTTAGGTTTATGGGTAATTGTATTTTTATATAGGAAATATGTAAAATTAATTGTTTCCTTAATCCGTGTGCACAGCTGTTGAGTGACACTTATAATGAAACAGAGGGAGTATCTGCTAAGCAAGTAATTTTTCGTAGTAAAGAAAAACCTGGTTAGTCTATCAAGTTTTTAATTTTATAAGTATGAGGGAAAATATTGTTATAAGTTGATATTAAACATTTAAGTTCTCTCTGCTCCATGCTGCAGGTCTTTGACCAACGACTATACATTAAAAGCAAATTATTCAAGAGGAAGCAACGTTCTGGACTTGTAATGGTAAGATAAGAGCATAACTATATTTATCTCAACGTTTCAGACGATTCTATACAGATTTATGTTTTATTTGGCTACTATGTTTCCATAAACTGATAACACGAGAAATTTAAATGTGTAAATAAGAAAAAAAAACTGTAAATAAGAACATTGATCAATTACAATACTGCAACACGATATTGATCAATACTGATTGACTAAACTAATTACATTTTAAAATTTAGAAAAGTGATATTTTAAGTCAAAGTGATTAAAGATGAAAGGGTAGTGGTTCTTCAGCAAAACGGCGCCGTGTCTTATCCTACATACAGCTGGTTGTGGCAGACATCATAGGGCCTACTTATATTAGAGCGTTACTGTACGTAAAGCTTTAACATATCTACTTAGTTCTCACTGTGCACAAGAAAATCTGACTCGTGAATTATATACTACGTACACATATGTATTACGTATATAACTTAAGTTTTTGAAATTTTTTTAAACTAATCTATAAAGCAGCTTTGTTTTCCATTTCTTCCCCTGCAACTGGTTTGTTCATATAAAAAACTAATCTATAAAACGTGGAAGTTTGACTTATAATTAGAAGATTGACCTGTTAAGCTCTTAACTATGATTTGTTGCTGAAGGTACAAACATGTTACTCATATAGAGACAGCATCGTGTGTGTATACACAATTGTTTGATGTATTGAAAATATAAATACGCTTTGTTTGAGATTTTGGGAGATAACGAAATAATAAGATGAATTCAAAGGATGCAGAGTTATATATGTCGGGTCATTTAGAGCCGTGACCAAAAGTTTCGTCGTTAATTTTCTACGGTCAGTCATGAATTTTTTTGGATGTTTCTTCACCCTTTTGTGGACTTCTGTATAGTTTTGTCGGTTTATAGGTTTGTATTCGTATCTCTTGTCTCTTTTTGTCCCAGTAACGAGACGTATGTATAATCACGAAAAGAAAAACGTTTAGTTTCAGTTTTATATTTATATACATATTTTCAAAATGATTCATACACAATGGGTGTGACTGGTGGAGAAAAGATGAACTGAGAGTAAATGTGAGGGAAATAATTAAGGAGAAAGAAAAGTTGAATTATTAGTTTCGCCACGTTCAGCTACATGTATGTGGAGTAAAACTCTTTCTAATAACCAGCGTAAACTAGCGCAAATTTTATTTTTTATTATTTTCTCTATTCCACCTGATTGGTATTAAAACAGCGTAAGTGAGCGTTAATGTTTGTTACTCCATTTTTGTTACGCTACAAGTGCCATACAGTCAGACACAATGTTAATACCTAATGGTATGAAATGTTTCGAGTGTCCTACCATATCTAGTCTTTTTTTTTGTTAACCTAGTAGCTTTTTATGATAGTGTACTATCTATATATATATATATTTGTATTTATAATTTAGCAATTATTGATTTTTTTTAGTGAAATTAGGTTAGAAATCTCAAACTTAATGTTGTTTTAAACCTATCTGCATTTCGTAAATCATCTTGAATCAATGAGTTTAAGATCTGTTTGCTAGAGAGAACTGTTATAAAATTATGCCTCTCTAATCACAAACAAAGAGTAGTTATGTTAATAGGATGTATTGTAACTCATATCCCATACTTTAAAAATATAATAATAATAATGGTGTGAAGGATATGAATTTGTTAAGGCTGAGAGTGAAAAAAAAAATGAAATAAAAGTAAAGAAACGTCTTTCTCAATAAGAACACAGATCCCAAAGGATTCAAACAGCAAAATAGTGCTTTGCTCTTCTCTATCTCTTTATCCTCTCAAAAACCCTCTCTTATATTCTAAAGCCCCTTCCTCTTTTTTCTTCTTCTTATCATCCAAAACAAAACTTTGAGTTTGCTTATAAGCTTAAAGAAAGAAAAAGAAAGAAAGATGATGTGTTCGTTGTTTCAATGATGACGATTTAGCTTACCACTTCGAGAGTTTTAAAACAAACACAAGAGAGAGAGCAAAGAGATACATCATAGAAAGAAAAAAAGAAGAGAATGAAGTCCTTTTGTGATAATGATGATAATAATCATGGCAACACGACTAATTTATTAGGGTTTTCGTTGTCTTCAAATATGTTGAAAATGGGAGGAGGAGGAGAAGCTCTTTACTCATCTACGTCTTCTTCAGCTGCTACTTCATCTTCTGTTCCACCACAACTTGTTGTTGGTGATAACAGTAGCAACTATGGAGTTTGCTATGGATCCAACTCAGCTACTGGGGAAATATATTCTCAAATGTCTGTGATGCCACTCAGATCTGATGGCTCTCTTTGCTTAATGGAAGCTCTCAACAGATCTTCTCACTCAAATCATACTCAAGGTTAGTAGTAAAATGAATTAGTAGTAATGTGAATCTTTATTTCTTTTTCTTGTTGTTGTTGTTGTGTCTTGTATGATGGGAACATGTTTGGTTTTAAAAGATTTTTTTTTTTCTTATTTTTTGTTTTTAATGTTTTAGTTTCATCTCCAAAGATGGAGGATTTCTTTGGGACCCATCACAACAATACAAGTCACAAAGAAGCCATGGATCTTAGCTTAGATAGTTTATTCTACAATACCACTCATGAGCCAAACAACAACACAAACTTTCAAGAGTTCTTCACCTTCCCACAAACCAGAAACCACCATGAGGAAGAGACAAGAAGTTACCAGAATGACCCTGGTTTGACACATGGTGGAGGCTCTTTTAATGTAGGGGTATATGGGGAATTTCAACAGTCACTGAGTTTGTCCATGAGCCCTGGGTCACAATCTAGCTGCATCACTGGCACTCACCACCACCAAAACCAAAACCACCAAATTCAAAACCACCATCAGATCTCTGAAGCTTTAGTTGAGACAAGTGTTGGGTTTGAGACAGCAACAATGGCTGCTGCTGTCAAGAAGAAGAGAGGACAAGGTGAAGTTATGGTTGTTGGACAGAAACAGATTGTTCACAGAAAATCTATTGATACTTTTGGACAACGAACTTCTCAATACCGAGGCGTTACAAGGTTTTTCTTTTTTATGTTTGTTATAATTTTAAAATATTATTTGACTTTTGGTTAGGAAAAGTTTCTTGTACTTATTCTAAGGGTTTAATCATGTGAAACAGACATAGATGGACTGGTAGATATGAAGCTCATCTATGGGACAATAGTTTCAAGAAGGAAGGTCATAGCAGAAAAGGAAGACAAGGTTTAGAGAAATATATATATATTTTTTTATTTTTAATATAACTTTCTTTTCTTAAGACCTAATATATGATATAATTTTAATTTAATATGTTACTGACATTGGGTTGTTTTTTTCTCTATTTGTGATTATGATTTGATGATCTTCTTCTCAGTTTATCTTGGTAAGTACACACTTCAATCTTCATGGATTCATGATTTCCCCCTAAATTTTCTCGGGAAAATAATGATGGATTTTGACTACTTTTTGTTTGATTAAATCTTTTTAGGTGGTTATGATATGGAGGAGAAAGCTGCTCGAGCATATGATCTAGCTGCACTCAAGTACTGGGGTCCCTCTACTCACACCAATTTCTCTGTAAACCATTTTCTCTCCCTTTTAATTTTTTTTAGTTCCAACTTTATTTCTCTATGACCTTAATATTTTATATATTATGCTAATGGAGTTTTAATGGGTTTTAAAAAGGTGGAGAATTATCAGAAAGAGATTGAAGACATGAAGAACATGACTAGACAAGAATATGTTGCTCACTTGAGAAGGAAAAGCAGTGGTTTCTCTAGGGGTGCTTCCATCTATAGAGGAGTCACAAGGTCCTTTAACTTAAACATTTATATAAATTTTATTATATAGTTTTTATTTCATAGAAAATGTAAATATTGACTATGTAGTTCACTTGTACTAGACATCACCAACATGGAAGGTGGCAGGCTCGGATCGGTAGAGTCGCCGGAAACAAAGATCTCTACCTCGGAACTTTTGGTAATTTTCATTTAATAATTATCGTCTATTTAATAGCAATTTTAAATAGCTTGTATCTCACGGAATGTTTTTTAACATTGTTAGGAACTCAAGAAGAAGCTGCTGAAGCCTATGATGTAGCAGCCATTAAGTTCCGTGGCACAAACGCTGTGACTAACTTCGATATTACAAGGTACGACGTTGAACGCATAATGGCTAGTAACACACTCTTGTCTGGAGAGTTAGCTAGAAGGAACAGTAACAGCATCGTGGTCCGAAACAACAACGACGAGGCAACCGCTGTAAACGCTGTCGTGAACAAAGAAGTGAGTAGTCCCGAGAGGGTTTTGAGCTTCCCGGCGATTTTCACGTTGCCGCAAGTTGGTCAGAAGATGTTTGGAGCTAATGTGGTTGGAAACATGAGTTCTTGGACTACGAACCCTAATGCTGAGCTCAAGGCCGTGTCACGTACTTTGCCTCAGATGCCGGTTTTCGCTGCGTGGGCTGATTCTTGATCTAATCTAGTGGTTAACTCTGGTTTTCTTGGTTTGGTTGCCAAGTGTTTCGGTTTATGTCCGGTTTTATCCGGTTTGAATTAAAATTCGGTTTAGTTTGTTGTTATAAATAGTCTTGGCGTAGGTGCGGTATATGTTTCTTTTGAGCAGTATTCATGTGAAACAGAATGAATCTCTCTATAACATATGATTTCAATGCATTTATTTCTATAAATCGCTGTCTCTTTAGTTACATAAATATGAGTACGTAATATAATATTAATATAGTAGTCATATGATTAAAGTAAAGCGATTTGGTGAAATAATTGAAATTGAGTCGGAATAACACGAACTGGTTATTTATGATATTTACGAGCATGGACATTAGAATAAACTCACTTATATGGCAATTAGCGAAAACGTGAACCTATAGACTATAGTAACTGATTTGATGGCATTGATGGTTTTAGCAATTGATTAGAATGTTAATTTCTTATAAAGATATGGGAAGAAAAGGATGAGAAGAGAATGTGCATGGAGATGAGACGACCATATCTAATAATTAGGTTTGTTGTTCTCTTTATTTTTGGGATACAATGTTCTTTTTAGTACACAACTACAGAGATAATAAGATGAAAGTGAGTAAAATATGTAATGTCACTCCAATAATGCGATTTGCTTTATTGACCATATCGTCCCACAACATTCCAACATACCTCACTCACCACCTCATTTCTAAATTTCTTCCTTTTGTCTCTTTTTCACACCCCACCCCGTATCAGCTTTTCCCTAAAGTTTCACCAAAATTTAAAATATTCCCTCCTCCATGATTTTTAGGGAACTTTAGATATGTATATGTATATTCTTATATTCAATAAGCTATTGGTGAAGTTATTGCGTGGAAACTTTTTAAAGCCACTTACTATGAAATAATGATGCCGGACGCAAAATTAATGTAAACCCATACGTGGGATAAATGAATGAGTGGTTCGTTGTTGAACTTGTTGAAGTTAAAACCATTGATTCTGTACATTTTTTTCCACACGTGTGAATGAGTTGGCCCAAACTCGAACGCAACATTGTTTATTGGGCCGTAAAGAAGTATAATTCCAAGCCTGGCCCACTTTATATTAGAAAATACGTGTTAAGTAATTGATCATGTGTTTGTGTTTCAAAATAATTTTTTTTTTGATCATATGTTTCATGCATGGCCCAAGTTTGATATGAAAATTCAAGTAGCTAAGGCCTTTGGGTATAAGATGATTCGAGTCGTTTAGTATTGAAGTCAAAGAGCGTGCGCAAGTACTAATATTCTAATCAAACACGAGTTTGGGACTAAAGGGCTTAAAACTTACGGCCTATAATCCATGCAGTATTATGGGCTATTCACGTGTGCGTATGATTCTTATGGGTTTGGATTAGAATGTAGCTGGAATAAACTAGGTCGAAGTCCAGTCGTTATGTGAATTCTTTAGTGACTTTATAACGGTTTGAACATTTGATTACTTGGAAGCTTACATATTTACTAGTAGAATATTTTTCAAAATTAAAATTATCGTGTTGCTTTTTTTTTTCTTTAGAAAGGAAGGAGAGACAAAAGAAGTAATGTAAATTTGATGGAGGGTTGAAGAAGGGTCCTACGTTATGGAGGACGTGAATCAAAACGGTCCATAGAGTGTCTCCTAGGAAATTCTCGAGGGTCGTAGCAACGTGAACGTCACGTTAGTTGTCACCCAATTTGTGTTGGACCCAAATTGATTTGTTGGAAAAATAAACTAACTATTTATATGTACATTGGCAATACTATAAGAAAAGTAACATCGCGACTATTAATTTTACATCAAATATATTTTGCATACACAGAAAATATGACACTGTCACTGTGGGACATATATGCGTTTAGGCGTTCACGTGCTCGTTCTTATCATACATCCCCGATCATTTATTTCTTAAAACCTGGATCATTCGTCACACGAGATAAACTTCTTAAAAACAAGTGCATTTTTATCAAAAAACAGCTACTACAACAATTCGTTAATCAAACCAATAAACCCATGGCCGACTTTGAGAATTAGGAAGCCTAAGGCGATTTCTTAACGATTTCACCTACATTTATTTTTTCACGGATTTTGAGATTTAAATGTTTTTTCAAAAAAATTAGGGATTCAAAACCAATATTCAGCCGCCTTGATCTATAACCGGCCCTGAATAAACCTTAGTTTGAATATACCCCATGTATCATCATGTACAAAAGTAAAGCCAATCTCCATGAATCTAGAATTTGCCGTTACACCAATGTTTTCATAAATAAGACCCAGGCCTAGCTCAATTGTAGGGGTGGACACAATTATTTTCTACTCGGTTTGTATTCGCTAATTGATTATACTTGGCCTTAAAAGTCGAGTACTCGTTTTGTTCAAGTCGAGTATAAATCGTTTATTTCAGTTATTTGCAAGTACAAAACAAGTACCAAGTACTAAAATGGAAATAACTACTTGGCGTTGTTGGTTTGTTACTCGTGACTTATTACTTGATTTATTACCTATTTTTTATACTGTTGGACAAAAATTCTCTAAATTATAATCAAATTACTTGTTTCTAAAATAAATGAATTAAAAATATATATTATATAAATATTTTAGAGTTTTTTTTGAATTTTATATTTATCATATATCGATTTAAAACATATCAAAAGTAAATAAACATTCATTTAAAAATTGTATAGATTATAATTATAACTAACTATTTTTTTCCTTAAATTCATATACAAAGTTTAAGTAGCTAAAATTGATAAACTCTTATTTAATAATTTAAAAATAATTATATAATAACTTATAAATTAATTCAAAAGCAACAAGTAGTAAACAGAGTAAGTATTTGCAAGTACATCATTTTTCAGCAAGTATTTGAAAGTGCAAATACTCATTTTTAATAAATCAAGTACAAGTTCATTTTTATTACTCGAACAAGTTAAACCAAGTACCAAATACGTCGAAATTGGCAAATACTTAGCTTGTGATCACCCCTACTCAATTGTATGTTTACTTGTTTGCGCGCCCCTCCTTTTTAGAACATTATTGATAATCCAACCCAATGTGTATTTGTGGAAATCATGTCTCCATGCTAGTTTTCTAAATGTCAACTTTTAAGTTAATTATATACTTACCGAGGAAATATATTGTTAAAGATCAATTTATTATTAACAATATAAATGAGTATATATTGTATATATTAGTTTGTTCTCTGGGATTTGCACTCCTTTTGGAATTATACACAATCTTGTCTTCACTGAATTGTTCATAAGGTCGCAAAGCGCATTAAAGAATCAGTTCAAAACAAGGCCTTGTCGGAAGATATACATATGGACCCCTTTTGTTGCATCTCAAGATAGTATAAGGACCCTATTATAATCCCTCTCGTTGTTCCTTGATAATTGTGGTCGAGTTTTATTACTCACTGGATTAAGTCTTTTTCCAACAAATGCAATATTCTGTTCTATTTAAATAGGAGTGATAAAATGGTTAACATTATTTTCCTCTCAAAATAAGATACACGCAAAACGAGTTTGTGGTTTACTCCAATAATTTCTCTCATTTTATTTTCAAAATATAAATTTTAAGTATATTCTGTTATTAATTGTTGCTTTAAAATTTACAAATTTTACTTACAATTTATGAAAAACTTATAATTGTATATTAATAATTTTGTTAAAGTATTAAATATAAAATATTGCATCTTTTAGATACATAAGAAAATATATAAAAGTTGAAGGATCCGTTTATAAATAAATAAAATTCTAATATTAAAATGAAACTGTGAATAATTTTCCCTCACATTTGAATAAATACTATTCATTAAATCATTCTCTCCTTAAAATAGTGCATCATTTAATGAGATTTTTCCTTGTTTTTGATTTTTTTCCCTCAAAATAAAATAGTTTGAAAATGGTTTAATATTGGTTTTGATTATGGGTATGGGTTCTCAATTTTGGGGTTCTCACAAAATTAAATATAATATAGTTTAAAAATGGGTATCTCAAATGTTGAAATATGCATCTTTGCTCAAAATATCTTAACATTTGAGTGCATAAATGATTAAGAATTTCAAATTTGATTATTATTATTGTAATTATAAAAATAGGAAATTTATATGTTTAAAATTTAATGTGAGATGTGATTGCATCATATTTAATAAATGTTAGTCTGGTAAAACTATAGAATTATGTGTTTAACTACACTAAAGGTAAAAAGTGCTAATTTGAAGTCGATTTTTGCATTAACGAAAAATAAAAATTACAATAATGTGGTTTGACAGGTGATATATGTGACTTTTTGGAAAAGATATATATGTGACATCTGCCGAAGAAAAATTATAGCAAGCTAACAAAAAAAATGGCAAACTATTACTCCATTTGTTATGAAATGTAAGTTGTTTTTCAATTCAAAAAAAAAGAAATGTAAGTTGTATTAAATAAAAACACAAAGATTAAAAAAACTATTACTTTTTAAAATATCATTTAGTAGATAAATTTAATTAGCCATAAAGTCTATATAACTTAGTTAATTACATAATATCCAATATATATATCAAATTGTTTGAAATGTGAAAACAATTTTTTGAAACAAAAAAGTAACTCTAAATAACATATTATAAAACAAATAAAAAGATACAAGCTAAAACTACAGCCAACAGAGTGGAAGTGTATGTTTTTGATTCTGACCATAGTTTGACAAAATCGATTATCAAACTAAAATACAAATATTTGATAATCTCGGTCGTTCCAAATGGAAAATCGTACAATAGTATTCTTCAAATAGTCAAAAGTTTGTCCCGAAATACTTATATTATAATCTAAAAACTCTCAACCTCAAAAAGTGAGAGCGAGGCAAACTCTATTGAAAACCTGAATATTATAAAACTGATGAGAAAATACCTACATAGAGGACTTCCAGTAATGTAGTTCAAAAAAAAAGAGGACTTCCAGTAATCACATATTGATCGACCACTTGTTAGGATTTTTCTTATAATTTAAAACATAAATGATTACATATGTGT